CTTGGCTCACTGCCTGTTCATCTGCTCTCAGGATGCGCCAGTGCTGTCCTCAAAGGCGCGCCGGTGCTGGCAACGGCTACAGGGCTGGTAAGAGTGATCTGCACCCTCATCCGTTGCAGCATGAGTCGAACGCAGAAGTGCTATAGGAGCCAGATGCTGCTGGTCCGACGGTGCAGGCGAGTCACTTGCACCTGACTTCGGAGTCGATTTCCAGCAACGCTGTGGTGCCCGCAGGCCTCAGCAGAGACGGCAGCTTGTGAGGCGCGGGACCGCTTTTGGAAGAATGACGCAGATGGCAGGTTCAGGTTTCAGACGTCGGCCGTGGTCACAACGCAGCACATCGTGCACACCGCCAGGATGCTCCGGCACCGCAGCAATCCTACGTGCTGGTCCCGCAGGCCCTCGGCCTTGCGCTGCTCGCATATGCGGCAGTGCCACACAATGCACCCAAAGCCGCTGAGGAGCAACAAGATGAGCAGGCAGCTCCGGCAAAGGACGTGCCATCCGAGAATCATCGCAGCCCTGAGGCTTCGTTGCATCTGTCGGATCTCCACAGTCGGTTGAGGGACTGGCGGCCGCTGTGGTTTTGAATGCCAGGCCGTGGCAGAGGCCCATGCAAAGGCCATGCAGGCCGGGGCAGCCTGTGCCTTGTTTCACTTGCCTTTGAAGAACTCGGCCGTCCAATAGGAGCTGCAGGAGCAGCACATCCTGGCCCTTCAGGACGCAGGGCTACTGACCCAAGAGCAGCTTTCCGTGTGCTGTCTAAAGCCCTGCGGCTGCTTTCTGTTTCCTGTCGCACTCTCTATCATGTGTCTCTCCTGTGCACGGTTTGCTTCATTTCTCCATGAAGATGGGTGGTGTTTCGGATAAGCCAGGAACAAATCCTCATGCATGCTTTGCGCGGTGTCGAAGTCGTGGAGCTGGGATCTAGGGTCCGCTCGCTAACCAGAAAGCCGTTAATCGTGCAGTCCAGAAGCTCAGAAGTTGTTACTTGCATCATCTGGCACCATCTGTCATCTGGGTTCATGAGTGCAGTGCCACTATGTGTCACACTCCCATACACTGTATTGTCTCTGTGTCAAGGAGCAGAAAGAAGTCCAAGAAGCCGCCTCGGCGCAACCCCAACCCCCCAACCACATGCCCCATAGCGAAAACCACACCCTGATCAGCGAAACGCCGGGAAGGTTTTGCCCACGCTAGCCGCCCGGATGTTGAGCTGAACACGGGGTCACGCCGAGTACATAGTATTATGCAGGCTCATACTGATACTGCACCGATCTGCACCGAAAAGAAGCATCCACAGAATGCGCCGGCCACGCTTGTCAATTGACCACCTGGAGGAGCAGCAAGAGACATTTGCGCGGATGCTTCAGGACATTCTGCTTTTTTTAGAAGTTTACTACTCGCATCATCTGGTACTCCTCCTCCATGGGCTCATGAATGCAGTGCCACGATGTCTCACGTTCCTGTTGACTGCCACTCTGTGAAGGAGCAAAGAGAAATCCAAGAAGCTACCGTGGAGGCAAGGTGCAGCATGTCCTGTCTGTTTCTTGGGCAACTAATTGGTCGCAGTGCCGTCAGTACGTGGGTTTCCGGGAGCCTCCCAAGAAACCATCACGAGCAGGCAGCGATGCGAGCGAATGCGCAGACCCTGCAGGCTGCATGTGGGCGGGAGCGTGGGCAACGTGTCAGAAGACCTGCGCTGTCTGTCGTCCCTGTGGCAGGAGCAGCGAGAGCAGTTCGAGAGTTTGCTCGAGGACAGTTGAGCAAAATTTGCACCCGAAAGCCGCCCAAACCCTGCAACCACACGCCCCATCGGCGTAAGTAACTTGCAACCCCCCACGCCCAAAACCACACGCCATCGACGTAAGCAACCTGCACTTCAAAAGCCGCCCCCACGCCCCAACCACACGCCCCATCAAGCCCAACCAGGGGTTCGGCAAATGAGGGTTTGGAGACTCAGGGTTTTGGAGCATTGGCAAAACCCTGCACCACCCACATTAACGAATGCAGCCGGCCCCTTTCCCGGTTTGGAACGCATGAGCGGGACTCGAGCAGGCCAATTGGGCCCCATGTCTGGAAGCAAGCCCAGCCCAGTGCTAAACTCCACTCACGACATGCACTCGGAACCCAGTCCCAGCTGCATTCTGAAATACATTACCCCTTGGAGCAGATCTTTCTGGGTAGCCGCCCGATTGTTGAGCTGAACTGATACTGTACCGAAAAGAAGCATCCACAAAATGCGCCGGCCACTCTTGTCAATTGCCAACCTGGAGGAGCAGCAAGATACATGTGCGCGGATGCTTCAGGACACGCTGCTTTTCTAGACTTTGAAGTTGTGGATTGTAACATTTTAAACATTTGCAGGCACTTTGGAACAGCAATGAGGATGGATGCTGGATGCGGTTGGCCACCACAGTCGATGTCCTAGGTCCTAGGTCCTAGATCGTGATCTAGGGTGGCTTCGTTCGGGAACAAAAAGGCACACAAGATCCGCAAGAGTGGAAACTAACAAGCTGTTCATCGCAAGGTCCAGAAGTTGCTACTCGCATCATCTGGCACTCCTCCTCTATGGGATGAATGCAGTGCCGCGATGTCTCACGTTCCTGTTGACTGCCACTCTGTGAAGGAGCAAAGAGAAATCCAAGAAGCTACTGTGGAGGCTAGGTGCAGCATGTCCTGTCTGTTTCTTGGGCAACTAATTTGTCGCTGTGCCGTCAGTACGTGGGTTTCCGGGAGCCTCCCAAGAAACCATCGCATGCAGGCAGCGATGCAAGCGAATGCGCAGGCCTTGCAGGCTGGGGCATTGGCATGTGGGCGGGAGCGTGGACAGCGTGTCAGAAGGCCTGCGGTGTCTGTCGTCCCTGTGGCAGGAGCAGCGCCAGCAGTTCGAGAGTCTGCTGGAGGACGGCGGAGAAGGTTCTTGCAACTTGCGGCGCGGTGCTTTGACTCATGGCAGGTGGAGCGTCGCCGCGCAGATTTGGAGCACGACCGTTGTCAGCAGGTCGAGGCGCGACTTTCGGAAGCCATGAGACGGAGCGTGACGACGTGTGACTGCCATGCAGGAGAAACTTGCCTTGGCCTTGGAGCTGAAGGAAGAGGCAGGAGGTGGTGGAGACAAGGAGTGGTGAGGGGGCGTTTTCGCCGGCGAAGGCGCTCGCGGCCGCGAGGACGATTTCGGAGGCCCACGAGCAGAAAGTGGTGCAAATTCAGGTCCGCAGCAGCCCGGAGTCTGGTGCGACAGATCTGCCTTAGACACTATCTGGAGAGACATGTCTGAGATCTCGAAGGCGATGAAAGAGTAGATGGGGCTAGGTCTTTTTGCTAGAGTATGTTAAAATCGAGGTAACAAGCATAGCTTCAGCTTCAAAGATATAATATCATTTTGGA